GCCTAGCTGTGACTCTGGCCCTCACTTTCCCTGGTTTCTTTAAAGTGGGGATAACAGAAGTCCCTAATAAAAGATAAGGAGTCACTGAAACCCTGAGTGTAGTCAACCAAGTCCTCCTTAGAAGAAGTTGCAATGCATTCCCTCTCTCTTCCTATATCTGTCATATAGCTAATTGATCCGTCAGACTATGTTGCCCATTCTTGTTTCTTTCAAGCACAGAATTTTAGAACTGGAAGCAGCTTTGCGAGCTCCTCCGGCACACCTCCCACCTAGTGACGGGGAAACTGAGACCCACCCAGAGTGTGCCAGGGGCTGCCCCAGGCCACCAGATGGCCAGGTTAGAACGGGGATCTGCTTGGTCTTGTGACTGTTATCTTCTTTAAGTCATATCACAGTGCTTCTTGATTTCTTCTCACTTGAAGTGAACTTCTGGGAATTCTGGCTGTTTTGGGAAATTGGTGTCAGGAGGCTGGGGGTGGTCCAAAAAGGAATGTTGTGTCGACGTGAATTTAGTAAGCATCTGCTGACTTCCCACAGACTTGCTTCCGAGATGCCGCTTCCTGATGTTGCCCCCAGCACTGACCTGAGTGTCTTCCCCCAGTCTGCCTTCCCTCCCGCTGTCCATCTGTGACCCAGCCACTTGCCCAGTTGTCCACTTGTGGGCCCACTAGGGTCCTGTAGAATCTCACATGAAGGTGGACCCTCATGGCCCCAGCCTCCCTGTCATCTCAGTCACTGTCCCAGACTCCTCTCTGTTCATCCTACCTCTAGATTCCACCACCAGCCTGTCCTCATGCCGTGGATCTCTCTTACACACAGAACTTTCCCTGCTCAAAAGTCTGCCACCTACAACATCAAATCCAGGCAGGTATGGCGCCCTGCCCAGATCTTTCTCATCCCAGCTTGGGCTCAGCCTCCTCTTCAACCTTTCTATGGGAGGAAAGGTACCCCTGTGTTCCTGGCCTTCATTCTTGACTCCCCCCACCCCACCTTCAGCAAATCACCAATCCTGTGGGAGTCTACTCTCAAAATTGCTTCTAGAGACACCTGTTCCTTTCCTCCTCCACTGCCACCATACTGGTCCCGGCCATCATCCCCTCCATCTCATGTGGGTACCACCCATTTCCCCACGGTTGACCTCCCACAGCAGCCCGAATCATCCACAAAAACATTCACAGACCCACATCACTTCCCTGCTCAAGACCCCTTGAGTGGCACCTCACTGTGCTTATAGGAAAATCCAAAATGCTTACCCAGCCTGCAAGGCCCTGGGATCTGGCCCTGCCTCCCCACCTTATTTCCTGTATCTGCCTTGTTCAGTCCACACCAGCCATACGTGCCTCCCTTCTGCTCCTGGAATTGCCATGTTGTTTGTGAGGAGGACAAGTCTGGGTTTGATGACTGACTCCACCATTCGCATGCTGTGTGATGTGCGGCAAGTGACTTCACCTCTCTGAGCTCCAATTCATCAGTAAAATGGGGATGATAATAGACCTCAGTTCCTCAGATGGTCATGAAGATGGGAAGCAAGGTATTGGCTCAACTAGCACAGAATGGACGGTGATACTGCTGCTCTGTTGTTGGTAATGATGATGGATGACGATGATGATGGTGATGATGATGATGGCAGTGAAGGAGAAATATTTTAAGTCCCTGGATGCTGGGATCTCCTAAGCAGATCATGGGGTGGCTGCAGCTTGACCTTGACTTAGGGCCCCTGGAGAAGCAGTTTTGAGGGCAGGGCCAAGGGTGAACAGGAAATGAGGGCTCAAGCCCAGAAACCAGGAAGGTGGGGGAAGAGGTGGGCAAGCAGTGCCCAGGGCAGCCCAAAGCTAGGTTTGGTTTGAGAGTAGCTGAGGCCCACTGGAGGATGGCATGGCCCTGCAGCAGGACTGGCCAGACAGCCCTCTGTCTCTGTGTCTGTCTGCCACTCCTCATCCTGTTTTCCTATGTGTTTGGGTCCCTAAGCCAGCTTTGCCTGACACCCCCCTGCCCCTAGAGGCTGCCCTGGCCTGGTGTCCGTTGAAGGCCGATGTGCTGAGATGCAGAGGGAGGCTGGTGTCCATGAATCACCAGTTCCTCCTCTCCTGGCCCAGCTGTTGACTCAGTGTGGCCTGCAACCCGGTCTCCCTGTTTCATGCTAAGCCGGGGGTTGGAGGGACCTCTCTGAGCTTCCCACACCTTGAGCCCTCAGGATGAGGCAGCGCTTGTGGAGAAGGACCCCTTGGGTCCCCACACAGAGCAGGGATGTATTGGGGGCTGAGTAGAGAGGTCGCCAGAGACAGCGGGAATCCTGAAAGAAGCCAGGGAACCAAGCCACAGAGAGTCCCCAGGGGCAAGAGAGGAAGAGGCCATGGCTGGGGGCCCTAAGGGGTGAAGAATCCCGCTCTGCTGTCCCCGGTGGGCTGGCTGCTCCCCCCCACCACTCCCCGCCGGGCCCCCGGGGGACCTCGCTCTAATAATGTATTTGATCGACTCGCCGGCCGCGTACAAGCGATTATTGTCTTGTCGGGAGTCAAACGTATCGATCTGGTGAGAAATATGAGCAGAGCAATGGGGCCCGCGTGTCAGTTACCAGCCCCGCTGGCCCTGGGGAGCCCCCTACGTCTCCTTTAATTACCTCTCAGCCCTGAGCCCAGCCTGGCCTCCCCTGCGCCGCCTCCCTCCCAGGCTCCCTGCACCCCGAGAGGCCCCCCACTGCTCCCCAGCTCCTATGCCCTACCTGCCTTGCTCAACATGGCTTGAGGCGTCTTCTCTGGCTGAGAGGCCACTCTCTGCCCTGCCTAGGCCTCCCATTCCTGGCTGCCAGGCCTTCCCCACCCAGCAGGCCCAAACATTGCCCCTGTCCTCTCCCACCAGGCAGGCATCTCAGAGCCATTCTCCTTAGACCCCCTGACTCCAGATCAGGGACTCAGCCTGCCTGGGAGGCAAGAGGGGTAGGGCAATTTCATCCCAAGGGGGCGTGGTTGAGCCCTTTCCTGGGAAAGGCCTGGGAAGGCAGTTCCAGAAATGGGTGGTACGTCTCTTACAGCTCACCATAAGGGGCTGATTCCCAGTCATGTCCAAAAAGCACGTACCTGACATAGATGACATTGACTGTGTCCGTGGTGGAGTATTGGGGTGGCGTGGTAGGGTTTTGGCCCCCCCCATAATGTCCTTATGATCCTCATTTCCAAGCCCCTCAAGACATAAATCCTAAATCCAAACAAAACCTGCTGTGCAAATGCAGCTTCAAAATGAGGCTCCAGTACCCCACTGCCGCCAGACTGCTATCCGGAAGGCCCTTGTGCATAGAAACCCTGCATCTAAAAGGCAGAGAGGGGTGGACCAAGAGGCAGGAGGTCTGAGCTGAAGCTGGGTTGATGCTGTGTGGTCTCTGGATCTCCTCAGTGAAACGGTCTTTGCGATATGGGATGCTGTGGAGTGTCGGTAGCTGGGAACTGTCCCCTCTGTGTACAGACGTGAAAACCACTGGTCATTACCCTAGAGCGGGCCTGCCTGCCTGGGTGTGTCTGGATGCACAAGGCCCGTGTGCAGAAGGCAGGGCACTCGGGAAGGCCTGCCTGTGTGTTATATCCTGAGTGAGTGTGCATGGGTGTGAATGTGGGCACACATGGCCAGGAGGCGTGCCTGAACACCCATGTGTAGATGTGCCCCTGTGCCCACATGAGGGAGCCAAGGGGTTTCTGTACACAAGAGTTAGAGATGTCGGGTGGGAGCCTAGGCACACAGAGGAGGGTTCCCGTGTGTCTGCGTGCGCATACATGTGTGTGAAGTGCTGGGGCCCATGTGTAGAAATACTTGAGTGTATGTGTATGTTTGGGTGAGTCCAGGCGTCTGTGTGCGCGTGTGGCTTGGGAGTTCCCCAGCGTGGGGCGCGGCGAGCCTCGCGGGGCCCAGGGCGGGCAGGCGGCCTGTTTGGAGATGCTAAGTGGCCTGACAGCCTCGGACCGGGCGCAGGGAGGACGAAGAGGGCAGCGGGCTCGGCCGCGCCTTTGTCTGCGCCGCCGTGCGCTGGGAGTCCTGCGCCTTTGTGTGACCCTCGCAGGTGTGCGCGCAGGGGTGGGGGTGGGGGGGCGGTGAGGGGAGCGGAGGGAGGGGCTTCCTCCTCCGCAGCCGGCCCCTCCCTCCGGCCTATTGGCTGGGCGCTGCCGCCCTCTGGCGGGCGCAGAGGGAAATGCTGGGCCGGGAGCGCAGTTCCGCTAGGGGCCAGCGAGCAGTCAGGGGACCCGGGGCTCCCCTCTCCCGAACCGCCTGGGGAGCCCACATTTGCCCCTGGTAGACATCTTGCCACTCTGGGCCAAGGCCCCTCCCCGTCGCCCGCAAAGCCACTGTCCACTGTCCACGGGCACCGTTTCCTTCTCAGTGGACGGATGCCTCACCTGCGGACAGGTGTGTGTCTGGGACCTTCCCACAGTCTTGCGGGACACCCACCACGAACGTCTCTTGCGGTGCTTCTTGGCTTCAGTGCTCCCTGGCTCCGGGCCCTTGTGGAGGCCACCCCAGCTCTCGGGTCCTCAGTCTTTTCGACTGTAAATGGGGCAAATAGTGATCATCTTAAGAGATGGCGCCTGTCAAGTGCACCTGTCAAGGCTGGCATTGGGGAAGAGCCTGAAAAACTCCTAGCCAGTGTTTTTTTTTGTTGTTGTTGTTGTCATTGTTGTCATGGGCCCACCCTTTCTCCCAGACCCACATGCCCTGTTCCAGATGTGTTTGGCCTGGTGGAGGCAGCTGGAGGGCTGGCGCAGCTGCTGCAGAAACCTCCTGAAGACCCAGCTGGAGGATTCAGTTGCTTCAGCCTGTTGCCGTCCACCCCACTCCCCCCACTGCCCCAACACACACATGATTTGGGGTCCACCACCTCCTGAAGTGGGCCTTGGGGCCAGAGTATTTTCCTTTCTGAAGGGGGCGGACCCTGTGGTTTCCTCCCCGGGTGACTTCCGGCTGAGAGGGCTTGGCCCCCAGAGAGGGCGGGGAGATGACACAGTTGTTCCCCCAGCCCTGCGGGGCGGGCAGCATGGTTCACTCCAGCATGGGGGCTCCAGGTAAGGGGCCCGGGGCCAGCGCCCGCTACCTGCCCTGCCCTTCCTCTTTAGCTGTCTCCTCCGCACTTTCACTCTTGTACCTCGGCAGCTCCCCCTCTCCCACCCTGGGTCCCCACCCTCAGCTCTTCTTTCCCCTTCCCTTCAACTCCGGACACCTGAGGGCTTCTGGTAGTGCCCCGCTCCGGGCCCCCCATCACTGCTGCAGTGTTCTGAGGGCTCCAGGGGAGGGAGGATGGAGCCCAGTGTTGGTAGCAGGCTTTTATAAGGAGAACCCGGCTGGGAACATTGAGCTGCAGGGCTTTTCAGTGTGTGTTTCTGTGCATGTGTATGAGAGTGGTAGTTCTGAGTCCTTTGAGTGTGACTGTCATGTGTCTGTGTGTGAGGGGCTCTAGCGTGTGGCATTGTGGACTAGCTTTGACAATGACCCCTTGGCTTACTGCCTCCCTTCGTTTGTCCCAGATGTCACCTCCTCAGGGAGGCCTTCCCTGATCTCCCTGTCTGACTTGGCAACCAATCCACCATTCTCGGTCCCCTTGCCCTGCTTTGTCTTTTCTTTACGGCATTTATCACCACCTGAAAATTTATCGTATGTCAGTTGACTGAGTGAATGTTGTGTGCCGGGCACCATACAAGGTGATTTGTATTTGTTGGCTCATTTGGTAAAATGTGTCTATCTCTGCATAATGATAGTTATCTCTTGGCAGGGCTGATGGGAGAGTTAAATGAGGTAATATGTGCAAATGCTTACCACGGTGCCTGGAACACAGCAAGCGTCAATACTTGGTGATTGTTTCATTTGCGGCCATGTAGGCATGACTGTTGGTATGTGTCACATCTGTGAATGTCCGTGGGGATGAGTCTCGGTTTGGCATGTGCCGACCTAGGCGCATCAGTGTACACGGGCATCCCTGTGGCCCTTCAGCAACACGTATTTATTGAGCATGTCCATGCTGGGTCTTGGAAACACCACTGAAATAGGTCTGTCCTGGAGTTCCCAGTGGGAGAGACTGACCTGTCGGCAGAAAGTGGAGGAAGCACGGGCAGAGGGGTCAAGGCCAGCATGCCGGAGGTACAGGGAACTGTGGGAGCACAGCAGACTTGCCCAGTTGAGCCAGTGGGGTGTCAGAGAGGGCTTCCTGGAAGAGGGGGTATCTGGGCTGAGATGTGAAGGATGAGTGGGTATGAGCAAGACAAAGGAGGTAAGGAAGGGGGTTGAGATGGAGGGAAAACTACTTGCAGGATGGCACATGATTATTTATCGAGGTGACTCCCTGTGCAACTATGTGTATGTGTGTGTCACACACAGTGTAGACACAGAGATCCGAGGTCTGCTGTATCACTGACTTCTCCCTGTCTGGGGTTGAATGGGGGCCTTGCATGTGCCGGGCACTGAGTTAGACCCCTTACTTGGGCTCTCTCACAAAAACTGCCCTGCCTGGGAGGCCCTCCTGGGTTCCCTGCCTGGATGCGAATTAATACCCTGCGTGGCCTTGGGCACATCACTTGTCCTGCCTGAGCTCAGGGTTTGAGGGTCCACCCTGGCCGTCTACTAGAATGAGCTGATTCTGGGCATGTGAGTGTCTACACGTATGTGCGTATATCTGTCTGAGTGACCTGGGTATGGGTATGTATGCACATCTATGTCTGTCTGTGTGTCTGTCTGTGTGTATGAGTGACTCTGGAAGTGTGAGTGTGTGCACATTTGTGTATATCTGAGTAACTCTGGGCATGGGTGTGTGTGTGTGCATGTTTCTCTGTGTGTCTGTAGGAGTGATTCAGGGCTCATGTGTATGTCCATCTGAGAGATGTGAGTGGATGCGTGGATGCACATCTGTATGTCTGTGAGTGACTCAGGTGTGAGTATGTACATGTCTGTGTGTGCCTGAGTGACGTGTGTGTATACATCTATGTCTATTTGTATGTCTGTGAGTGCTGGAGGGTGACTTTGTGTGTGTGTATGTGTGTGTGCGTGTGTGTGTGTAAACGCAGGTGTGCATGCGCATGTCTGGGTGTGTGTTTTGCATATCTACCCATGTCATTGTGTCTGGGCGTGCGTCTTCTCTACAAACATCCCGACAAGGGATCTCTGCACACCTGTCCCTGTGTGTGTGTCTGCGCGGCCTCTATCCTTGTCTGGGGCTCTGTTGGCTGAGGCTGCGGTGTGTGTGCTCTGTGGCACAGCTGTGGGGCCACCTCTCTTGTTGTGTCTGCTGCGTGTATCTCCATCCCTCCCTCCTGACAGCTCAGAAGTGTTCACTCCCTTGAGGCCACCCGGAGACAGACATGGGGTGGGGGGGGGGAGTGTTGCTCCTACGGAGGCAGGGACTGGGCCAGCTGGGCCCACAGAGGTTCCCGGCAGCGCAAACCCTGCCCACAGGGGCTCCCAGGCCACAGCCTTGATTGAAGCCGGCTGTGAAGGCAGGAGACCCAGGGGACAGGCCAAGAGGGGCCAGGAGGGGTGAGGGGCAGCCCTTGGGCCCTCTATATTTAGCCCCATTTTCGGTAAGTGCTAACGAGAAGCTGGCCCAAGTCTGCTAAAACTGGCTGGGGGAAATGCAGAGGAGAAGTGAAAGTCCGGAGAGGGAGGGGTAAGGGAGGGGTGGGGAGGGCGGAGGGGACCCAGAGTCCCAGGCCTGAGGCAGTGGGGCAAGCGAGTGTGACCCCAAGGGTGTGGGTAGCCCTGGGTGTGTCTGACTCCAGGATGGTGGGATTCAAGGGGCCCAGTAGGATTCTGCATTGCTTCCTCCTGCCCGGTCCTCTAAAGAGTTACACACTGCCAGGCATGGGAGAAGGGAGGGACGACTGTGGCCCTATAACCAAGCAGCCTTTCAGTGTGAACAAGGCTTCAAGACGGGCTTTGGAAGGTGCAGGGAGCTGGAGCATATTAGAGACACTGGTGGAGGTGGCGGTGGGGGTTTTTCAAAATCCAGATGCCCCGGTCTTACCTTGTCCCAATGAAAGTAGAGTGTCTGAGTGGGAATAGGCGTCAGTATTTCTCCAGAGCCAGGAGAGAGAGGCCTGGGCCGAGGCTGATAGCCTATAGGATGGGTGCCTCGGTGGGCCTCTTAAGGGATGGCCAACGTCCTCGAGTGTTAAGGCATCATTTGACTTTGGATCTGTGATGGAAATGGAGTCCCCTATTCATGCTTGGTGGGAATGATTCTATGAAGTCCTTTTTCTCAGATTCGGCTCTGATGGGGGAGGAGGAAAGAAGAACAAGACAGGCTTGGGCGAAGGGCAACACTGGCCATTTTGCCGTCAGCCCAGCCAAATGCTGCAGGAGCACCTGGCTGTGTGGGAGTCGGGGTCGGGGAAGAATTAGGGACGACGATGGAAACAGAGTGGTAGAGATTTCCCCTCAAGCCACCTTTGCCTCTTCAGCCACTATCCCTGCGGAGGAGACGTTACCTTCAAGGTTTAGGTGGGAGTTGCTTGGGGATTGGGGCTCAAAGTCAAGGTGGCAGGTGGCAGCAGGGAGAAAGGTTTGTCTGGGACAGGATCGGGTCCTGGCCTGTCAGAGATTCTTGCATGCATTAGTGCTGTTATGACACCAGCCTGGGCTCTAAGGAGCTCACAGATTGGGGCAGGGTGAGGCCATTGCCTAGGGAGTCGGGGTGTTAGAGGCAGGGCGTTCCCAGACAAGAGACACCAACCACCTGAGGAGTCGGGGAGGACCTCACAGAGGTGGTCACATGGGAGCTGGGACCTTAAAGAGGAGCAGGAGTTTGCTCATGGAGAAGAAAAGGTCACCAGGTCAGGGAAGAGCAGAGCCAAAGGCCTGGAGGGAGGGAGGAGACCAGGGCCTCAGGGCCCCCTTGTTCACTCCACCGACGACCTGGGCTGGGCAGTGTTGGGGACCCCAAGATGAGTCAGACCTGCCCTCAAGAGGTTCCCTGTCTGATGGGGGAGACCTACTGGGGCCCAGATAGCTACAGCCTCTAGGACAGTCCCCCAGGGAGATGCAGGGCCAGCGGGAGCCAGAGTGGAGGGAGCCAGTGCCATAGAGGACAGAGCCTGTGCGGGTCCTGAAGGATGAGCAGGAGGTCGCCAGGTGGCCAGCGTGGGGAACAGCCTTCCAGGCAGAGGGACCAGCCCACGCCAAGGCCTCAGGAAACGTGTAAAATGGCAGAGGGACAGCAGGACAGAGGCAGGAACAAGTAAGAGAGAGAGCCGCAGGGAGGGACGTTCGGCCAGCGTGTATAACCGATTCTTCTGAGCCGGGTGATGCCAGGGACCCAGCGGTGAGTCAGAGCAGGCCTGCCCGCCCTCTGGTCTGGTGGGAAAGGACTAGGACACAGAAGGACACAGCCCTGTGGGCTCAGGGCGAGGACAGTGGAAGGGCACGACCGTGGGAGGCTGGATTATTTTCCCAGGGCTGCCACAGTGAAGTACTGCAGACAGGGTGGCTTAAACGACAGAAATTAATTTTCTCGAAATCTGGAAGCTAGAAGTCCAAGGTCAAGGTGTCAGTGAGGTTGGTTTCTTCTGAGGCCTCTCTCTTTGGCTTGGGATGCCCATCTTCTCCCTGTGTCTTCACATGGTCTTTTTCCTGTGCATCAGTGTCCCAATTTCCCTTCTCATGAGGACACCAGTCATATTGGATTAAGGCCCACCCTAATGGTCTCATTTAACTTAATTACCTCTTTAAAGACCCCTTCTGGGCTTTTCTTGAGGAGATAGAGAGCTGTGGAAAGGTTCAGGGCCAGGGTGTGGGAAGGATCTCCCTGGGGCAAGATGGAGCTGGTTGGAAGGAGGGGCCAGGGAAGAAGGTTGGGGCAGGCGTTTCTGGGGTGCTGGATGGGGTGGGATGCCAGACCGCAGTAGCATTAGCAGTTGCCTAGAGCAGGGTCAAGTTCTGGGCCATTTAGAGGCAAGGTTAGGCTGGACCTCTGCCTTTTTTTTTTTAATTTTTTAATGTTTATTAATTTTGAGAGAGACAGAGACAGAGTGCAAGCTGGGGAGGGGCAGAGAGAGAGGGAGACCCAGGATCTGAAGCAGGCTCCAGGCTCTGAGCTGTCAGCACAGAACCCGATGTGGGACTCGAACTCACAAGCTGTGAGATCATGACTCGAGCCAAAGCCGGATCCTCAACTGACTGAGCCATCCAGGTGCTCCTGGACCTCTGTCTTTGATATCTCAGAGTCAGCAGTGGGGTCTCAGCGCCTGAACATTAGCCACTCACGCCCCTCCTAGAGTCTGGAAGCAAGGCCTGAGCTCCGGGCATGTCCTGGGCACTTGTCCACCACCCCATCTTCACCAGACTATGCCTTCACCAGACAGGACTGTGTACTGGCTCATTTATTTATTTTTTTAGCTTTTAATTTTGTTTTCTTTTTTGTGCATGAAAATATACATAGGATGAAGTGCCCAAATTTTAAGGGTGCAGCTTGATGAATTTTTACATATGTATAGAACCACAGAACCCCCCCGACAGATCATGGTATAGAACATTTCCAGCCTTCCACAGGCCTTCCCACACCCTTTCCCCGTCAGCCTCCCCGCAAAGGTACCCATTATCTGACCTTGGTCACCTAATATCATCTTGCCTGTCTCTGAGCTTCCTGGAATCCTACTGTCTGTCTGCTTTTGTGTCTGCTGTCTTTTCCTTGTCACGCCTGCGAGGTTCAGTGGTGTGTGTGATACGGGAGTGTGTTCTTTCTCCTGCGGTGGAGTGTTTCGTTGTATGGACATACCACATCATGTTGATCCGCTGATGCGCCCTTGGGTTGTTGCCAGTTTGGGGTCATTTCGAAAGGGCCACTGGGCAGGATGCCCCTCTCTCTCGTGTGGGTGCTCGGGAGTGGATGTGCTGGGTCCCAGGGAGGGGATGCCCCTTCAGCTCTCCTGAATTGTGCTTATATCGATTTACACTCCCACCAGTAGTGTGTGACCTGGCTTTTTAATCAGGAATTTTAAAGCTGAGCGGTGTTTCATGTCGAGTAACCCTCCATTGCAAAATTCCTGGACTTTTTTTTTTCTTTTCTAGTTGCTGAGGTTGTCCTAGCTACTTAGGTGGCCTTTTCTTCTTAATTTATTTTTTATTTTTTATTTTTTTATTTTTGAGAGAGAGAGAGACAGCATGAGCAGGGGAGGGGCAGAGAGAGAGAGGGAGACACCGAATCTGAAGCAGGCTCCAGGCTCTGAGCTGTCAGCACAGAGCCCGACGCGGGGCACAAACCCATGAACCGTGAGATCATGACCTGAGCTGAAGTCAGACTCTCAACCGACTGAGCCACCCAGGCGCTCCTACCTGCCTTTTTAAAAATATCTTGGGTGCAGAACATACTTGAGTTGGACAGCCCCTTTGATAGGGTGGCATTGTGGCTTAAGGCAGGGATGTGGAGTGAGTTGTGGAAGAGACCTTCAAGTCAGAGTCAGGGTCATGAGAAAGGTCTGAGGCCAAGCTGGGAGTCAAGGTTGGATGAAGGACTTGGACCATTGGGATAGGAGTTGGGATTTGGGATGGGTAAGAGAACTGAGACCAGATAGGAAAGAAGCCCAGGTCTGTGTAGGGTCTAGGACCCGGGTTGGGTTCGAGTCACTGTCAGTCAGGGTGAACTTGAGTAGAGGTGACAGCTGGAGATGAGGTGGGCGGAAGTCACAGTGTGGCAGCCAGTTGGGGGGGGGGGTAGTCCAGTAGACCATAGCAGTCCTGGTTAGAAGCGTGAACCCTGTCTTCATGAAGACAGGTGTCCAGCCAGGGCACCTCTGCTGTCTCACTGTGCTCTCGGGCCCTCACTTTCCTCCTCTGTAAAATGGGGGTAATATTAGCACCAACTGCTACAATGAGCGCTGAATCATACTTAACACTGTGCCTAGCACTGGCAAACACTCACCTTTCCATTGTCAGCGTCAGAGTGTTGTGAGGACAGAGCATTGCTTGGTCTCCATTGCTTTGTGTCCCCGGTGCCAGCTTGCTGCCTGCCACCTCCTCTCAGTTCCTGGGTTTACGGGACTGTAGAATGGGCTTGCATTTGTACGGTGGGGCACGGGCACCCAGGCTGAATCGGGTGTGCGGTTGGGATTCAAGGCTGAAGTCCCAGGTGAGGCCTAGGATTAAGTCCAAGGACCAGGTCAGGGGCAGAGGTGGATGGAGTTGGAGTCAGTGGTCAGAAGGGGGCTGCTGGGCCTGTGTGCTGCCGAATGTGAGAAGGGAGGCCAAGAGCGGGCGGCCGGGTGGGAGTGAGGTGTGGACGGGAGCGCTGTGCGCTGGAGGAGGGGCAGAGATCAGAAGACTCACTCCTCTGGGGACGCTGCAGCCCTTCACACCCCCAGGCCCCACTCAGAGTGGAAAACATGTCTCACCCGAAACCTGGTGAGGCAGGACGGGTGCGCCTCGGGAGGAGGCCCAAGGCTGACTCGCTCCTGTGGAACATCACCCACCTCCTCCTGGGCACCGAAGCCTTCTCACGACCACCGGCTACCTCCCAGCCCGCCCCAGGGCCTCACGGGAGGTGGCCCTCCCTGTGCCACCTTCTGCAAGGGTGGAAAGGATCAGGCAAGACCCCCAAGGCCTGAAGGCCCTTTCTTGTCCTGTCGGAGGAGGGCAGAGGCCCAGTAAGGAGGACATGTCTCCTGGAAAGAGGCACTTGCAAGGTGGCAGGGGGTGCAGGGGACTTGGGGAGAGGCTGGGGTGGTGCTGGAGGAGGGGCCCCGAGAGCCCTCCTGGCTTCCCCTCCCTCACCCCGCTTGCATCCCTCTTCTGTCCCCAGAAATAAGAATGTCTAAGCCCCTGGAGGCCGAGAAGCAAGGTCTGGACTCCCCGGCAGAACACACAGGTGGGTGGGGAGGGGAGCAGGGAGGGCAGAGGCGCTGCGTGGTGGGGGAGCTGCGGGGATGTGGGGGACACAGGTGACACCTCACTCTTTCCCTCTCGTTACAGACACTGAAAGAAATGGACCAGACACTAACCATCAGGTCCGGAGGAGTGGAGGAGCGGGACGGGAAGGGGGGGGGAGGGAACGGAGGCGGCCCCCGTGGGCGAGGAGCAGGGTGTCAGAAGCTGCTTCATGTCACTCTTCCCATTCCCCACCCCAACTTTTTCTTCACAGAACCCCCAGAATAAGACCTCCCCGTTCTCCGTGTCCCCAACTGGCCCCAGCACCAAGGTAAGCACCTATCAGAACAGCCAGGGTAGAGGAACAGGGAGGGCGTCCTGTGATGGGTGCTGGTTGGTATCTGGGAGAGGGTCCCACGCACCTTTGTGGGCCTGGGGCCTGAGGGGCACGGAGCCCCGATAACTTGGTGACACAGCTCCTCCCGCTCCTTCTCACACTCAGGCTCCCACCCCAGGCCTGTGACTCACCCAGGCTCCTTCCCCTTCCCTGGGGGGTGGGGGTGGCCAGGGAAATCCCCCCCAGAGCCCCAGGGCGATGAACAACAGGAAGCTGAGGGCCCCGCCCCCATCCCAACTTCCCTGACAGGGGCCTGCCCCACCCCCAGCCCCCCAACACACACACTTAGGGGCCAGCCAATGGAGGTGGGTAAGGAGGGGGGCAGACCCAGTGAGGATGGCTAAGGATGATGGGGAAGCTGGAAGTGGCCAGACAGAACAACTCCCTGATCCACACGGGCCTTGCCTGCTGCTGGGCACTGTTGGGCTTCCTGAGGAGTCTGGGGCCCACGTCTCCACACTCCAGCCTGGCGGGAGGAGGGCGTAGCCGCAGGTCCAGAGGCCTGAAGGCAGCCCGGAGGGCACAGGCAGGGGGCTCCTCCGAAGGACACCTGGTCCTGATCAAAGGTGGTAGAGCGATGGGGCTGGGAGCCGGGAACTACTCGGTGACCATGGGAAAATCACTGCCCGCCTGCCACCGCCGCTGGGCTTCTCAGTTTCCTTTTCTCTAACATGGGGGGGGCGTGCTATCAGATTGGATGGGCTCTGGGGAGCCTTGATGCAGCTTCGTGGGTGGGTATCTTGTGCTGTGAGTTGGACAGGGCCCAGGGGAGAAGGGGTCTGGCTCCGGCCTCCTTCCCTCTGATCTCGGGCATAGTTCTGGCCTTAGCCCTTGGAGCCGAGCACGTGTCCATACCTCCACCCTCTGCCTCCACTGCTGCATTTTTTGCAGCCTCTCCTGGTCTCACAGCAGCTCTGCCTCTCTGTGGGGAAGCCAGTGGGGCCCCAGGAAGGAAGGATTCTCGCTGCCCTTCCCCAGCCCAGACCCTGGCTCCCGGGGAAAGCCCGAGGCAGAGAGGGCATTGGCCTCTGACTCCGGGCCTCTGTCCACACTACCTCCTGTTCTCCATCTCACTCCGCCTCTTCTGTGTTAGTCTTCCCCCAACAGCAGCGATTCGTGTGCCCCCATCACGATTTCAGACACATCCACACACCACCGTGTACCATTGCTTACATCACAATTTTGTTCATTGGCTTCACTGCAAAAAATATTTTATTATGGAAAATGTGAAGCAGATACCAAAGGAGGAAAAAAAAGAGTATCATGAAAATAACCCCCCAGGTACCCGTCAATCAGCTTCAATAATTTTCAGCTCATGAACAGCTGAAATAAATTTTTTTTAATGGAAATTTCATGAATGGAAAACCAGAATCACCTGCCATGGAAACAAATACAATGATTTTTTTTTTTTAAAGTAATATCCACGCTCAACGTGGGGCTTGAACTAATGACCCCACAAGACTCAGTGTCTATTGACTGAGCCAGCCAGGTGCCCAATACAGTGATTATTAAAATATACCCAGAGACTCCTGCCTGTCAGGTGTAAGCCCAAGGGCTTTCCTTCGTTTGTTAAAAAGGGAGACTGAGCCCTGTTAGGGATGAGGCCTTCGAGCCATCCTAGCACCTAATGGAGATGTTCTGCAGAGAACCGGAAGGAATCAATGAAAGAAACCTGAAAGAGGACCAGTGTTCTTTTTTTTTTTTATTATTTTTTTATTTTTATTTATTTCTAGGAGAGAGAGAGCGAGAGACAGCGTGAGCGGGGGGGGGGGGGTCAGAGAGAGAGGGGGATAGACTCTGAAATAGGCTCCAGGCTCTGAGCTGGCAGTCAGCACAGAGCCTGACGCGGGGCTCGCACCCACGAACCGCGAGATCTTGACCTAAGCGAAGGTCGGCCGCTTAACCGACTAAGCCACCCAGGCGCCCCAAGAGGACCAGTGTTCTGATCATGTTGGTGTTTTTCTTGGTTTTGTTTTTTTTTTTTTTTAACTTTTAATGAAAATGTGACATACACAGAGATCTTCAGTGTACGGCTCTGTGGATTTTCACAAACCGAACACCCGTGCAGCCAGCACCAGATCAGGAAGCAGAACCCCAGAGACTTCCAGAGGTCCTTGATTCCCTGCCCGGGACGGCCACTGGTCTGGCTTCTAGCACTCACTGTGGTTTGATGCTGCATCCTGGTGCCCCTTAAGCTTTCTGACATTTGTATCCTATCCCGGGGCACGCCGCTCACCCTCTGTTATTTGGCCTTTTCCCAGCCTCTGTTCATCTCAGTCTGCATTCCAAATGCCACGCCCCTGCCACCTGCTGTGTCACCTTGCACCAGTTGCTTTCCCTCTCTGGACTTCCCTTTGCAAAGCGGTGCTGGGCCATTGAGCTGACGGGTTAGGGATCATCCTTTGAGCCCATTGTCCCTTCTGGGCCTGAGCGTGTGACTCTTCAAGGCATATCCCCTCCTACCCCCACGTGTCCTTTACTAACAGACCAATCAGGCAAGCCCACCGTGGTCTGGCTTTCAGTCTAGGAGAGGAAGAAGGCCAGGACCCTGTGTTGGTCTGTCCTATGCATTTGATGCAAGAGGCATCCACATCCTACACAGAGATGAGGAGGGGCTCAGTGGACTTCTGGGGTGGAGGCTGACAGGTGGCAGCATCGGGGCCACATCAGGCCCGCTTATTTGCTTTGCTGCTTTTGCCAGTGTTTTTGTTTTTTTAGGTTGTTTTTTGTTTTTGCTTTAGGTTTTGGCTATTTATTTATTTCTATTTTAGAGAGAGAGAGATCATGAGCTGGGGAGAGGGGCAGAGGGACAGAGAGAGAGAGAGAGAGAGAAAGAGAGCGAGAGAGAATCCCAAGCAGGCTCTGCACTATCAGCAGAGTAATGATGGGATCATAACCTGAGCCGAAATTGAGAGTTGGACGCTCAACCCACTGAGCCACCCAGGCACTCCATGATTTTATTCTCAATTTTAAAATGAATGATTGGTGGGAGCAGGGCGGGAGCTGGGCAAGCTTCTCCTTCGGAGGGCTGCACACCCTGCCAGCCCCCCCCATTCTCATCTGCCCGCATCACCCATGTGCACTGTCTGCCTGTTTCCACACTCATTTGAATTCCAGACCCATGTTCTAAGGCGGTGATTTTTTTTAAAAATAACCTAAGACTCTTTCTTCCAGTGAAGTCTTACTCCATTAATAAGAGATGTGCCTCTAGCTAACACAGATGAGGGGTGTGGGACCCAGAACTCTACTCTTTGATGTCCCGAGTCCCCTGTTGGCACATTTCCCATTTTACAGATGGGAAAACTGAACCCCCCAGAGGGGAAAACTGCTCGCCAAAGGTGACCCTCTTCCTGTAGGAGTTTGGGTGTAGGGGGTGTGTTAGCCTTATCTGATGACTGAGGAAACTGAGGCCAGAGAGGTGGCCTAAGACCCCCAGCTGGTAGTACAGAGTCTTGCCTCTATACCCCAGTCCACGCCTCGTACGCCGGCCCCAGACTGCTGTTGCCACACACATGCCCTCTCTTTGGTTCACAGGTGGGCATTCTCTCTGGCCTCCACTTAACATTCTGGGGTCCCGGACCCTGCCTCTCTCCCCCCCAGATCAAGGCTGAAGACCCCAGTGGCGACTCAGCCCCAGCAGCACCCCCGCCCCCACAGCCGGCTCAGCCACATCTGCCCCAGGCCCAACTCATGTTGACAGGCAGCCAGCTAGCCGGGGTAAGTACTCGGGGAAGCACGGGCGCTTGGGCACAGTCTGGCCGCCCCCCATCTGTTACAGGACCGCTGGCATGGGGGGTCCCCCAGGACTGCAGCCACACTCTCACACCTGCCTCCTGTCCTCCTCAGACCTCCTGCGAGACTCGCCCCCTAACCTGCTTGGCTCAGGCACTAACCCCTCTCTGCCTTCTCTGCTCCTCCCCACACCCCTCCCCTGGCACACCCCCCACCCCTGCTGCCCCCCCACCCCCCACCCCCGCAGCTCACGGCGCTGATGCCGGCCCAGCAGCAGCTCCTCCTGCAGCAAGCCCAGGCCCAGCTCCTGGCCGCAGCCGTGCAGCAGTCCAGTGCCGCAGCCGCCGCCGCCGCCGCCTCCTCCACCTCCTCCTCCTCCTCTTCCTCCTCCTCCTCTGCCTCCTCCTCGACCTCGCAGCCCCCGGCCTCCTCTGGGGGAGGCGACCTGCCGCCACCACAGCCTGCCAGCCAGCCCCCGGGGACCCCACAGCTCACCCTGTCCCAGCCCATCCAGCTCACAGCACAGGTAAGGGCAGCCCCGGGGGGCACACGCCCTCCAGCGGGTGACAGGCAGAAGCCCCATGTGCAGGGGGCCGACTGGGCCACGGGGACCGACCTTTAGGACCACCAGTCCTGTGCCAGGCAGTTCCCAGCAACCCTAGGAAGCCTTGCGGGATGCTGCACCCATATCTCAGTGGGGTGAAGCGAGGCTCGGAGGGAGAACATACCCCGTGTGATGGAGTGCCCGGCTAAGCGCTCTCTGTCTCTCTCACTGGGGGTTCCTCCTCAGGTTATAGCTGAGGAAACCAGGAATCACCCCCGTGGAAGGGGGCCCACGTGGGCACAAAAAGGAAAGGCTGAGACTCTGAACTAGTGCCTGATAACGTGTGCCCCGGCGTATCCAGTGAGAGACTCTCTTCCAGAAAAGGGGCCTATGGCCACTGGGTCGGGGAGCGCTGTGGCCTCTCTGGCCGTTCTGGAGACTTCGGGTACACACTGAATCATGAGTTAGTGGCTGTATTCGTTTCCTGGGGCTGTCATTTCAAAGCCCCACAAACTAGGTGGCTCTAGGGACAACCCCTCTTTGCTTCTTCGAGCCTCTGGCAGTACCGGAAACCCTTGGCATTCTTGTAGCTGGATGGCTCCAACCTCTGCCTCCGCGGTCATGTGGCCTTCTCTGTGCGCGTCTGCCTGTCTCTGTGTTCCCACGTCCCCTTCTTAGTATAAGGACACCAGTACCTGGATTAGGGCCCACCCTGATGACCTCATTTGCCTCGATTACATCTGCAAAGACCGTGTTTCCAAATACGGTCATATCTATAGGCACTGGAGGTTAGGATTTCTCCCATGTTTTTTGGGGAGACCCAGTTCAACCCATGATAGTGGCCAACCAATTTCCCATCAGGATAGTTGGCGGAACAGAGTAGGAGCTGAGCAGGCTTCCCCTCCCCACGGGCCTGCAGGCTCCACCCCATTCACACTTGCCCCTGTCACCCATTTGTGCTGTCTGCCTGGGTTCTGTAAGCATTCGAGTCTGTGTTCCAGGGCAGTGAAGGTCCTGAGAAGTCCTGCAGCGAAGAAGCTTGTTTAACTTCCCTCAGCCCTGTGTTTCCCACAAGGACTCCTCTTTGGATTGCTTTTTTTTTTCTCTTTATCCACCCCCTTCCATGAAACCCCAGGGGCAGGTGCTGTCTACACAGAGGTGTCCAGCCTCCACAAGGTTGTTCCCCCATAAGAGTTCAGCTTCCAGTAGGCCCATTCTGCTACTTACCAGTGCTTACGCGTGAGACCGTCTTCAACTCTGAGCCGGGATCTGCCTTCTCAGGGCTTCCTCTCTCTGGGCCTGGTTCTGCAGACACATACAGCAGTCTGCGCTCGCTGCCCCGTGACGGCTCCCAAACTTAGCCTTGCAATGGCTGGCTCGCCATGGCGACTGTAACTAGAGTCCGGCAGGTGCTGTGCTAATGGTGACCTCCTCGAATCCACAAATCCCACAAATCCTCATCCCGGTCGAGGTCGCCCTGTGAGCACAAGTGGTAGAACAGCCCTGGAGCCCGGCCTGGGGATCCAGGGCTCCAAACATATGACCCGGGGCCCCGCTGCCTTTGGCGATAGTCGATAGTCCCCAGCTTTCCCACCCAGGCCACCAGAGACGCCAGCAGCAGGAGGTGGCGTCACATGCAGGGGCTCCTCACTAGGTCTCAAGTATCAGTGCCCCGGCTCCTGTTCTCCTTTCTACCTGCAAGTCGGCTCCCTCCCTTTCCCTGGACAGCTTCTCTTCAGCCTTTAAGCCCCAGCTTGGGAGTCCACACCTCCAGGAAGTTTTCCATGACTTCCCTCCCTCCAGCTGGTTTATAATTTCCTGCCTCCTCTGGGGGTCCCCAGCCCTTCCCTCTCCTTCTGGCCCTAATTGCTGGGCGCTGTGTCTGAAGATGCCTGAGGAAATAGCTGTGGAAGGAACAAAGACGGCAGGGAGCGGGGAGGGAGAGAGCAGCCCGACACAGACGGGCCAGGCATTCCTTCTGTTTGCACACTTCTTGGACCACATCTCCCAAGCTCCCTGCGACCCGAGGATCCAGTGACCCAGGGGCTGCAGCAGGCTAGTCCTCTGCTGCCTGCTGTCCCCCCCAGTCTCTGATTTCCAAGGACACCTCCTCTAACCGCCCTGCCAACCCCTTCCTTTGGCTCCTCCCTCCTCCTCCCAGCCTGTCAGTCTGCAGTTGCAAAGCTGGGCCCAGGAGTTTGTTTTCTGGGAGTTCTGTCACCCTGTGACCTCATTTCCCTAACAGACGAATGAGTATCCCCAGTTCCAAGCACCATGCCCACCAGGAACGTGGGGACCACATTCCTCCTGCGTTAGCTGCCTCCCCCTGCCCCGGCTCCTCCCCCCCCCCCGCCCCGGCTCCCCACGGTGTGTGTCTCTCGGACGGGGACGCCCGGATCAACAGATCACCATGGAGGCAGATTGGGCTGCCGAAGGAGGGGGTAGGCCTTCCGTTGCCTCTTTCTTCCCCGTCCCCACCCCCCCCCCCGCCCCGGCTCCCCCCCCCCTCCCCGCCCCCGCCCCGGCCCCCTGCATCCACAGCCGGCCGTCCCACCGCTGGGCTTGACCCCTCTCCTCAGCCTGTGTCTCTTGCGCCTGCTGATTCTACTTCGCATGCCTGCTCGGCTGTGTCCTGTGGTCATTTCACAGACATTTCCTAGCCTCTGTGTGTCGGGCCCTGGCAGGAAGCTGAAGACTTAGAAGTAACTCAGGCCCTTCCTTGCCCGCTAAGGGCTCCCAGTCTTGTAGGGAAACAGACACACCAATGAACCACTAAGAAATGTTTTACTTGAAAAACACAAAGTAAAAAACACCCCTAACCCTATCACTTTGAAATTACATAAGGTACTAAGGGAAAGTCCCCCAACTGTCCCTGTAATACCAGCTTCCAAAGTAATGTCAGTTAAACAGTTTGGCAGGAATCTTCCCTGCATTTTCCTAGCGAGTACAGAGAAAGGGGCGATTATAATGCACTTCTATAATTTGTGTGTCCGGCGCTCAGCCTGATGGTTTCCACCAATGGGGCCACATGGATGTTTACTGAATCAATGAGGGATGTTTTGCTGCCGCTTTTCAATCAAGGGGAGGGAAGACATCTCTCCAGGGGAGTAATTCAGACTGTCTGGGGTAGGGGTAGTAGACATCGATTGAAAATTTACATGAACTGTTAAAACATCATTTTGTATTTGGAGAGGGAAAAAAAAATCCCTATTTTCATAATACGACCATGGCAAATAAAGCTTGACAAGATCTTTTAGGCTGGCAGGACTTACGGAATAAAGGTTTCCCAGAGAAACCTATGGGATGTGGTGGGATTGTGGGAAAAGACAGGTGACCTGTGCCTGAGAGAATCAGAGAAGGCTTCCTGGAAGAGGTGGTAACTGACCTGAGCCCGGACAAGTAGGAGTCGACGAGGTATACGAAGTGGAGAAAGCTGTTCCAGGCATGGAAAATAAAGTGAGAGAGTGTGGGTGGGGGCTCCGGGAGTCGGGGGTGGGGAGCCAGCAGTGGAAGACAGAGCAGGATGAGCTAGGAGGGGTGTCAGCTGGACCAGACTCCCCTCCAGGCGGACGAAGAAGGAAAGGGGGTATTTTGGCTCAGATCAGTGAAGAGGCCCAGCCCCAGATCTCTGTCTCTTTTTTCATTCCGAGGCGGGCAAAATGGGTGCGGGCACTTTTAGACTTGTAGCCGCTGTACCCAGGGAGATAAAACCCTCCCACTGACCGGGGCTGAGCTAGTGTCCTCAACCACCAACCTCCCTAAGGGGCTGGGTCAGCCCACTTGGACCATGTGACCTGAGAGTGGGGGAGGGCCAGTCCCCAAGAGGCAGATGTGGCTCCTGTTGCTTGAAGAAGGGGCAGGGGGCGCCAGGGCAGCCAAACCTGCAGGTGTGTAGTCAGTGTCCCCACAGGCCTCTGGCGGCCAGGAGCCCGGCCCGGGCGTACCAGCCACACCACCCTGGTTGGAGCCTGCTGTTGCTCCCCTATCCCGGGGTTCTGACAGGAGGAAGCATGGGCTGGAACACACGGTGTGCACGCAGGTGTTTCTTCTCCCTGTCAGATGGGGCGTGGCTTTTTGCTACCCTGCCCCAATCGCTGGGACTTCCTGGGCTTCACTGTGGCAGGGCCAACCTTTGGGGGACGGGGGCACATAGAGAAGCCCACGCTAGAGACAGGCCACCTCTGTCCACATCCCTCCCCCTCCCCCAAACTTTAGGGCTTCCTGTAGTGAAGTGCCTGGAATAACAGAGTCGTTCACTCATGCATCCAGCACTTATTAAGCACCTTATGTATGCCAGGTGCCCGTTCATGGCCCCAAGAGGACGCTGTGAACAAGGAAGCAGTGGCTGCCCTTGAGAACCTCATGTTCTAGTAGGGAGACAGGTAGTAAACAGGTAAACAAACTAGCAAAACAAGACCGTTTAAGAGGAAGCATACCAAAG